TTTGGCACAGAATATTTACAACCTCGGCTGTGACCTTTCCTGTGGTGTAGATAGCAAGGGCTTGAGTCAGAGTCATTTGTGGTATTTCAACTGAAAGAAAGAAGGTTGGCTCAAGTTTTGTGCCTTCCCTCGCATGACACTGAATGAATGAGAAGTTCTTCTAGGAGTTCTAGAAGATCAAGGGAGCAGGTCACTTGCTGTGAAGTTGCTTAGAACAGTCCTTGAACTGAAGAAAGGGAGGAATGTTGTACATTTCTGACCATTTCTTCCTGACCATCTGTAGGAAAGCTCAGAGAGCTTCAAACTGGCGAGTCTCCCATTTGGGACGTAGACCAAGTTGAGACAGCTTTGTTGTAGGGATATAACAGCTTTCAAGTCACTGCATAGGTGAGGGACCAGTTTCTGCCATGCTGCACGCATTTTCTTTTCTTCCCCAAACACCCCTGAGCTGTAATGGGCATAGCCTGCTGTGAGGGGACAGAGACCACGTGATGATTTCACAGGGACAGTTCTGGCTGGCTGGCTGGTTGGCTTCTCTCACTAACGGAGAACCTTTTTCTGCTCTGGCTGAACTTGGGTGGCAGCGCCTTCCTCTCCCTTCAGTTTAATGAGCCCATACAAGCGCATTAAAGATAATTGTTGGGTGGTGGTAGTAGTTGAGCTGGTGCCACGGTCTGCCTCCCCCACACAGGGGAGGGGTGTCTCACGGCCTGTTATTTTCCCTCCCCAAGTTGCAAACAAATTCCCCTCTGTCTGCCTTTCTTCCTGCTACCTGTCTCAGAACTGAGGAGACAGGCCTTCCTGCATCTCACGGGATAAGGCCCGGGTGTTTATCCGCCACTCCAAAGTCAGAAGGAATTGTAGTGACTGTCAAAGTGTGAATCCAGAACAGTACTGAGGTAACTCATGCTGTACCATGAGGAAGTTCTGGCAGTTAGAGGTCCAGTTTTCCACTGAAAAAAACTCTCTTCAAACATTCATTTATGGATTTATTTGTCGTACTTTTGAAAATAGGAAAGTGTGACTGTAACAAACACATTTGCAAAACATGGCATCAGGCAGGATTCTTCATTGGCTGTCGCTCACTGAACGTGTACTGTAGGAAACCCATGGTTGCTACTATATTATGTGCAACCAAACCAATGAGGAGTATTTATAGAAAGGCATTACTCGTCTTAGGGCAAAGTGGTTCAGCACCAGTACAACACCCATCAATTTATGCCTTCCTCCAAGGAAATCAGCCTGTCTGCTCTGAATTAATCCTTGCCTGTTCATATTAGAAATAATTAGTCCTAGTTGACAAGAGCTCAGATGTGAGAAGATGCAGGACAATTGGAGGAGGGGCTGCAAGACAAGTGGTTTCTTGCATCTGATTCATTTGAGCTTCTGCAACAGGCCCCAAGTGTGTCGTAATCTCCTGAACCCACTGCACATTAGAAATGATTAACTTCTCACTGAAGTGAGAAGTTCACTCAAGTTTTCCTGCTTGATAATCTAGGGGTGGGGAAGGCTTTCTGTGCAGAAAGATGACAAAACAAGAATGGTCCTTGCTGTCATCTGTGTCACCACAGGGCTAGAAATTGTGAAAACATCTTGGAAAAAGACAGTGGCACACTCCTTTGGTATTAGCGTCAAGCTTACTGTCTGGACATTATGAACACGTCTACGTGATCATCAGACAGGGCCATCCACAACAATAGTCATTGGCTTCAAGATGGCAGATGTGATCAACCAAACAAAGCCCTGCCCCTTTTTCATGTGCGTGCAGTGCCTCTAACACCCATTAAAAGGGGACAGGGCTTGGATTGTCAGCTCATGTGCCCCATTTTTAACCCAGTGACCTTTGCGCTGGACACTTGTCACCGGGAGCTGGAGGGAGACTTTAAATCTAAGAAAGAAAAATTAATTCCATTTAAAATGAACCAATCTTTCTGCTGCCTTTCTTGGAGAAAACATAATTCAACTCTTGGGCCCACCTTTGCATTTTAAAGGCACAGTTTTCCCCCTTCGGTGATAGTAGGAAGAGAGCCAAGTTAGTCTACGGTAGCCCAGAATGAGAAAGAATCTGGTACCACTCCACGTTTCTGATGAAGTGAACTGTAGCTCACAAACCTTGTGCCTTTTAATAAGATTTCTTAGGCTGAAAATTTGCTATCAAGTTCCTTCTGACTTTTGGCCCTTTCAGTGAGAGGACTTGGCCTCATAATACACAGTTCTATTTGGACCCCACTGTGTGGCCGTTCTAGATGCCATTCAATATAATGGTGGAAAATAGTTTCAATTGCCTCTATCAAAACTTTTAAACAAATTAATGGGCTTAGCGTGAAAAAAATCCAATATATTTACATTGGGCTGTCTATGTAAAGGAACATCCCCCTTCCTATAGCAGGTGCTGCCACCTGCTGTTTTTAATTTATCTATTGTGCATGTGTATGAGTGGCGTAACCTTCCCCAGCCTCATTCCTTTCCCTCCCTCTGGTGACCTAATCCAGCTGGAACCTGTTGCTGGTGTTCCTTATTCGCCTTTGGTGCCTCCTTCCTCGGGTCTCCAGCACTCCCTTTAATACCACCTATGTAACAATTCTCCACTGTTTTGTGTCTGCAGAAATAATATAGCCAAGTCTGTCAGGGCCACCCTTACATAATAAGTGAGAAAGCACATCAGGGCACTTAGGAAGGGCTTAAGGGAAAGGCTCAGACAACCCGTTTCTCAGAAGAAGATGCCATGGGGAGCAGCCCTTTTGACACGGGTGGGTCTGGGAAAACCACTGAAAACGTTTTGGGTGGGGACAAAAGAATTGGCAGCAACTTCCATTCTTCTGCTTCTTTCTTTCTCCATGGAGCTATTAGTACCCGCTGATATATATAAATATATTTTTTGAAGAAATAAGGTGGGGCATTGATATATGAAACAGTTCAAGGGAGGAAGGAGAAGAATACTGAAACAAGATTCAAGAATTAGTGGCACTTTTGCATAAGGTGATCCCAAACTGTTGGGACTCTTTGGTAGCTGAGCTGATTTCTAATTTAAACACTCTGAAGCTGGTCTTCAGTGGGAATCACCGGAGCTGTTCAGAGTGTGGGAAGTTGGTTGATTCCATCTTGGAAGGAACTCTTGCCTTACCCTTCCTCTCAGCTCCTGTGCTTCAGCTGCCTCAACAGGCCAGATAAAGGGAGTTCTGGTTTGACAGTTCGGCAACTTCGTTCCATAGCTCAAGCAAAGATAGCAAGTGTGGAAATTGGCAAAAGTCTGTCAGTTTCCCATTCTCTTGGGTAGGGGCCAAACTATTAAAAGGGCCCAGGCTGCTTAGGGTTTTTTATTTCATTCCCCTCCTCCCTCACTTTTTGGGGAGAGTGGAGAGATAAAGGTATTTTTGTTGCTGCGGGATGAAGAGCAATGATTTTCACAGCTTGTTCTCAGAGTCTCTGAGTTGGCAAAAGTTCAGGTCATTGCAGGCCACTTGCAATTTGCTTTTCAGTCAATGGGAAGTGGAAGGGATCCTAGTCTAGAAGTGGCCCAGATTAATGTAATATCTGGTTTGATCATCACCTTGATCAGTCCCAGTCTGGATTGTCTCTGCATGGGGCTTCAAATTGAATTCCTCCACACCACTACAAATAACTCTCAGGTTTTCTGAGGCTGTAGCAGGGTTGTTGCCTCCAGAGTTTGAAGTTTGTTTGTTTTTTTTGCAGAGATGAAGAGAGGGAGAAAGAAAAAGAGGGAGAGCTCATGCATTGCTTCCATGCTGAATGGCTGTTCCATGGGGACCAGTTTCTGACCTAGATTGCAGCAGGAGCAAATGATTAAACCTTCCCTCCCCTCATGCGCCAGTTCTGATCCAGACAGCATGCCAGGACTAATCTTGTGACAAACTTATCTAATTTAGTCCTCAGCTGAACCCAATAATCTAAGCTTCTTCTGCATTCCAACAGAGTCTTGGCAGAAACTTAGATGTGAATTTGTTTTCCATCCAAATTGGTCCCCATGATTCTCATTCAGTGTATATCTACTATTAGAATGAATAGATAAAACTTTATTATGGTTACATACCAAAATACAAAGGAGCAATCCAATGTCACCCATAATTTATAACAATTTACAGTTACACTAGGAGCAAGAAACTTTAATATTTGTATAAGTGCAACCATGTTCTACTTAGATTTAAGTTGGTGCCTAGACTTCCAGATAGAAACAATAAAGCTTAGCAGCTTGAAGTATGGTGTTGTGTCCTGGTCATCCAGAAGATAAATATCATCATAACATAAAATCTGTTAGGAATATTCCTGATCAGAGGCACTTTTATGCTGTTACCTTTATCCTTAAAAATGCTACACTAAAACTGGAAGTGTGGTAATACTGTATTAGAATGGTAATCTGAGCATCCAAGGAATGGGGATGGCAGGGAAATTAATTTATGATGGTACAAATATTAATTTGAATTATATTAAAATTAATTTAGTTCTCAGTGTCATAATATCCTTTGATGAAGAAAAAATCTGCAGCTTTTTTTTCTTTTGTGTTGGAATTTTGCTATCACAAAAAACACAGAACAAACAATACAACTAAAATTAAAATTAACAAAATACAAAAAATGAAAATAAAGTAAATATTAAAATGTAGTCTCACCATTCACTTTGGGTCCTGGGCCCACTGATTTTTCAAACATAATGCTTGATATGCTGTTCAAATCCTAACATTGTCCTTGAGCCAACAGAGGCCTTTCTATGGATCTTGTAGAATATAAATTATTGTTAATCATACTTAATCTGTTCAATAACAAGAATTCTCTGAGTGGAACTCACAGTGATTTAAAATATAAAAATAGCTCACTAACAACCCAATTTATCAGTTCTAAGATAAGATTCTGCAAGTTTGAACAAGAGGTTATTTCTGTTGTGTATGTGACTACTAAATTTGAAAGTTAATTTGGGTATAGCTATTTCCTTGATGTTCATGAGGCCATTACCTTGAAGTTCATGAAGTGCTTGCTTTTCCACAGCCTGCCAGCCCGGCTTCTATCGCCATTCACTAGAAATGAAGCAGTGCCTCAAATGTCCTCCCAACAGCTTCTCCAGCTCTCCTACAGCCACGGGCTGCCCCTGCATCCAAGGCTTCTTTCGGACATCCACCGAGGATCAAACTGTGGCCTGCACAAGTAAGTCCTCCAAGGAGGGAGAACATGCCTCCAGGCAGGGAAGGATGGTCCTTGGGAAAGTGAAGGCCTCACATCTCTTGTAAAACGCAGATGAAAATGTGGTGGAGCTCATTATTGATATCTGTCTATTCTACCTACTCCCATTTCTCACCCTGTAGAGGTCTCAGTGCTTTTGGGATGTGTTATAAGATGAAGATGTGTATCCAAGGCATAGTGATGCAATAAGCTCCCTTCCCTGTGGTATTTCAGGCTAACGATCACATCATCCCTATTTATGTTGAAATTCATTGAACATATTCTGTCCAGTGCTTGCAGGTAAACCCAATGGAAAGAGCTCTTAGTATAAAGATGAATGGGCACCACTGCAGAATCTCACTATGTATTGAATATATAAACTAAGAAAAGTTTATAAACTAAGAAATGGGATTTTGCAGGATAGGTGATTAACACACTTGCTTCTCTTTGTCTTTCCAGGGCCTCCTTCTGCTCCCTGCAATCTCAACTTCTCCCTTGTGGGGACACAGATATCCCTTTGGTGGCAGCCCCCCCTTGATAAGGGTGGGCGCCAGGATCTCACTTACAATGTTTTCTGCCAACGTTGCCATTTTCTGGTGTGCGAACCTTGTGAAAGTAGTGTGACTTTTTCCCCCAGTGGTTTAGGCCTCCCCAGGCCAAGTGTGATCGTGGATGGTTTGGAAGCTAACACCAATTATAGCTTCACTGTACAGGCTCATAATGGAGTATCAAGGCTCAGCCCTGCCTCACATAACAGCACCAGTTCCCCCATCTTGGTTTCTGTGCTCCATGCAGGTAAGTTACTGCAGTGAGTAAGGAGAAAAGATGTTCCATCCTCAAGAAGTGAGCAACCAAAGCTGTAGTAGAGTTGAACTATAGTTCTCGTTATGTTCCTTTCACTAGCTAAGTGCAGCCAGCTGTGTGTGTGTGTGTGTGTGTGTGTGTGTGCGCACAGTAAATAAGATGAGGGCATCCTGTAATGGTTAAAAGCGACTCAGTACTAGTGTCAGCCATAAATTATATCCAGTTAGGAGTGGAGAGCCTGGTTCTAAATGCCAGCTCCCATCAGTCCCAGACAGCATGGAAATTGTCACGAATACTTAGAACTCTAGACCAGTGATATGGAGAAGGCCCCAGCTTCCCCACAGATCTGCCTAGAGGAAGCCATTCATTGTCAGACTAAGCTCCTGAGCTCTAGTGGACTATGGAGTTCATTGTCCCAAGCTACCATACAGGGTTGGTGGAAATATTATGGAGAACTTTATAAAAGGATCAAAAACACCGAAGACGTTATATAAATGATAAGCCAAATGATATCTTTCTTGAAGGGAGCAATTTCCTTTATACAAATGTAATCTTTCCTTGGAGCTTAAATCTCAACTGTAAGAGGGAAAAAAGCAATTTTCCACTGAAAATTTGGCCACCATAGCAGAATTTTTGCTAACAGAGACCACTATCAACCCGATCAGATTGATTTGATAAATTAAAGGTGATGATGATACAGCTGCCCTTTAACTTCACTTATACCTGATCGTCCTGGGTAGCAGCTCTGCCCTTCTGATTATTTTAGATTCAAGACCTAAAGTTTATTTTAGTTCATATTAACCCTCCAAAAATCAACTTGTAAATTGCTGCTATGTATTCAGAGCTCCACCAGAGGCCACTAACCCAAATACATCTGATTTTCAAAGTCCTCATTTCTGATGCAGTGGTGTCAGAAGAAAATTGTACTTCTTTAATCTAGGAGTTGCCGCTGCTGATAAAACTTTGAGTATCATACTACCACGATAAACACTTGAATGGTTCCCTGCCTAACTTTGAGAATTTGTTTTATTATGCTACAAAAATGACTTATTAAGAGGTTTGATCATTCACCGAGAAACAGACAAGCCAGGACATATCTAAGTAGGCAATGACACAAGGACTTACGCAAGTCATTTCCTGAGCAGAAACATCCATTATGACCGCATTAGAAACACACATGAATTAGGAACTTTGGAGTCTTTTAAAGGCCAAAAGGCTCTCATTTGACATCCCACCTGTTTCTCCTCTGTCACCTTGGTACACAAGGTGCAGGCCATGTCAGTTAAAGCCACTTCCAAACACAGCTTGGTCTCTCGTCACCTTTTTAATTATTTGGATTTCAGTTCCGGCTCTCTGCTTTCCTCGTTATGAGAATGAGTTACCTTGCCTGCCAGTTGCTTCTGGAAACAAGATTTTCCAGTCTTTATCACATTTTTTTCCCTAGATCTTAGGCTGATGTATAAGAGTCTATCCTACATTATAACAGTTCTGAGTGGTAGGTGAGGTTGATGTATTTATGGGATTAGGTTAATAACTGCAATTCACAATAAAAGAAGATTATTTTAAAATAAACAGTTTTAATAAAGAGCAGTCAGTTGAAAAATACACTATGAACAAATAATAATTTAAATAAGTGTAAAACATTGCTTTGATTCATAATATTCCAATATTTAATAGTCAGCATCTTTTTTTAGGTCTTCCTTTTTAATTTAATTTGGATGTAATCATTTTATTTTTATTTATTTGATTGGTATCCTGCTTTTATTGACAATATCTGAGGATGGATGGCAGAATAGTAAAATAAGCACCAATAAAGCATTGATAAAGAACAGCTTTTGAAAAAACAATAAAGCCAGCAGCAGGGCAAACTAAACTAGAGATTCAATCACGTTCATGTTTATCCAAAGCATATTTAATTGTAGGACCTTCCACCAAGTTCAACAGGATTCCTAAATAAGTGGATTGCAACTGCAGTCTTCCATATACCCAAATAATTACTCAAATAATTTTTTTTCTGTCCCTAAATACTTGTACAGTGGTACCTCGGGTCACGAACGCTTCTGTTCATGACCAATTCGGGTCACGAACAGCACCGTTCACAAAATTTTGCTTCCGTTTGCGAACTCTGCATCGGGTGACGAACAGGATCCGCGGCCATTTTCCCTGCCGTGCCATGTGGTCGTGGCTTCCTGTAGGGAGGGGGACTCTCCCTCCAAGCAATAACTGCCTCCCCACCCGCCTTCCTGTCCTCCACGCCTCAAGCAAGGTTAATGTTCTCTCTCTTCATAGTGTATTGTACTGTACTTTGTGTCATATTTTTGTGGTTTAAAAAAAAAAATACATATGGTTCAGAACGGATTAACCGTATTTACATTGAACCTTATGGGAAAATTTGATTCGGGTCGCGACCAATTCGGGTTGCGACCAGAGTCGTGGAACGAATTAAGTTCGTGACCCGAGGTACCACTGTAGATCTAAATTTGGAAAGTCCTTTTTTTCTCCTTAGCTGTACAAAAGTTCAGGCACAATGTGGAAGAGTGTATTGTACTGTACTTTGTGTCATATTTTTGTGGTTTAAAAAAAAAAATACATATGGTTCAGAACGGATTAACCGTATTTACATTGAACCTTATGGGAAAATTTGATTCGGGTCGCGACCAATTCGGGTTGCGACCAGAGTCGTGGAACGAATTAAGTTCGTGACCCGAGGTACCACTGTATAGGCTATTCAATACTTTGCATATAAAATCTTTGCAAAAGTAACAGTGAAAATAAGGCCTTCCACATTGTGCCTGAACTTTTGTACAGCTAAGGAGAAAAAAAGGACTTTCCAAATTTAGATCTACAGAAGTTATTTTTAATTAATAACTGAGATCTGAAGTCAGGTCTCTTTGGTCCAGCTACTTCATACTAATATTCTAGCAACATCCTCATTGCCCCATTTCCCTGCCTTCTCTTCCCCATTTGAACTTTTAAACCCACAATCTCTTCCTCTTAATTTAGTCCAATTTTGGCCAAATTATACTCTCATTCTGAAAACAACAGCTGAGCAAACAGGATTGCTCTGATCCTTCTTTTGTCCAAGTAATTCAAGCAGACATACTCATTTTTGGTGAGGATGGACTATTTGCCACGCCTATCTCTAAGTAGCCTGGAAGGCTGAAACAAAGATTGTCTTCCTACCAAACTGGTATCAGTGGTTATTTATGATTAGCCTAGGAAGAGAAGATTAAGGGAAACATACAGCCCTCTTCATATACCTGAATGCCTTTCACATAGACGAGAGAAACACTTGTTCACTAATGCTCCAGAAGACAGAAATATTTCTAATGGATTAAATTACAAGATAAGAATTTGATGTGGAACCAAGTGTCTGGATAGGATGGGAGGCTCTGCAGGTCTTCATACAGAGGCCATGTGTTAGCATTAGGGAATTTTCAATTGAACATTTCCAGCATTGAGCAGAAAACTTTGGGTGAGAGGGAAGTCAAAAGGTCTATAAAACAATCTCCAAGAAAGTAAATTTTAGAACCAAGATCAGCCCAGGTATCTTGAATCTTGGGCAGAAAATCCAAATAGCATGCACAGGCACAAACAAAATTAACATTGTTGAAAGGGAAATTCTTCTGTGACTCCTCCACTACTCCTGTTTCTTTTAATGAGGCTTAAATGGGCAATGGTATCTATAGTAAAAGCTTGTGTCCCACTGTTAATATGTGGATGTATGTGGGAACAGGAGAATCCTTGGCATCTTCTGGCTCCAGCACAGAAATGTCTTGGACCATCATACATGTAGGATATATTCCGGGAGCTAGAATCGCTAGCCAAAATGCACTGTGGAATCAAATGCAAATCTGACTACTTGTAGAGGAACTAGCTCCAAAAGTCAAAGAGATTGAAAAGGATATGCAAAAGATGCTGGCAAATTGGATTTCAGAGGTGAGATTGGCTTTTCTTGCTTGGTGACCTTCATAGCAGGCCCCTTATCTGCAGAATTTAGCCCAGCTGTTGTTACTTCCATAGAGCAAAGTAAACCAATGCTCAGAAATATAAACTTTGAATGGATAGGCATTGCCTTCAGTTGTAAAGGATGTTAGGCTTGACCATCTTGTTTCTCCTTCCATTCAGCCCCAGTTGAGGTGACCAATGTTGTTTTGGATAAGCGGAATGACAGCAGCCTCTCAGTGACTTGGCTCCCTTCCCGTCATCGCAGCCAGAGCTCTGTGAGCTATGAAGTCTTGTACTTTGAGAAGGTGAATTGTGCTCTTCTACTGTCCTCCTACAAAATCTCTAAGACAATCCCCTTGATGTATGTATCTCTGCTTCTTATTTTCACTCTTAGAAAGCCATTCCGATTGTTTAATTCCCACAGGGAGAAGAAAAACACTACACTGTTCATCATCTTCAGAAACCTCAAGTGACCCTGGCCAACCTGCAGCCTGACACAGCCTACCTGCTGCGTGTGCGCTCCATCACACCATTAGGAGCTGGACCGTATTCCCAGGAGCAGGAATTTCGCACTCTGCGGCAAGGTTGTCTTTCCATATCCCACTTCTGTGTTAAAGGATATTAGTCGCTATGTGACTTAGAAGTCAATTTTGATGCAAGAGGCAATCCAGATTGGAATTGCATTGGGGGGGGGGGCATTCTCTCTTCATGCTGTTTTTTGATTATAAACTATTCATTTCCCAAAATTAATATTTGTAACAAATGAAGTAATACTCATAAGCAATTGTTGATGGAAGCAGTTTTCATGGGGGGAGGGAATAATTTTCCCTCCTTCTCATGTATTTCCCAAGTCCTTATGCCCGTTTCCACCACAGTAAAAACTGTTTCAGTATTAATAGCATTCCTGGAGAAAATCTGTCTATGTGGTTGCTAAGAGCTAACACCAACTAAATGGTTAACCTAGTTATTAATCAATTAATAACCATTTTAAAAGCTTCAGTATTAACAGTAACACTTGTGGACCTACTGAAGTTGATCAGGTTCTTTGTGGCCTTGTGCAATCAAATACGTATCCCTAAAGTTTCCCATTCATTGTACTGAAGAAAGCAACATGTACCTACCAAGAATTAAATGTGTGAGGCTACCCTTGCCACTGAAGTGAATTGTGTGTGTGTGTCAGTCTTGACTCCTGGCAACGGCCTGGACAAGTCCCTGCAGTTTTCCTGGCAAGATTTTCAGAAGTGGCTTGCCATGCCCTTGTTCCCAGGGCTGAAAGAGAGGGACTGGCCCAAGGCCACTCAGCTGGCTTTGTAGCTAAGGTGGAACTAGAACTCACGGTCTCCCGGTTTCTAGCCTGATGCCTGAACCACTAGATCAAACTGGCTCTCTGCAAAGTGAGCTGGGAAAAACCAATTCATAAGTGAGCTCATTGTACACATTGAGTACTCTGGATTCACTGCAGATGCATCCAGTTGTGCATGCATGCTCCTTGTCATAACTTACCAATAGCCATTACTGGCTTCTTTCAAGTTTATTTTACCAGTTCCATGGCATTGGACAGCAATTTCTGTTTGCCTTCAAAAAGAAAAACAATCCCAACACAAGCCATGGGTATTTTTAGGTTTGTTTCTCTCATAGCACAAGCATATGTCACTGCCAAACGACAGAAACACCTTGAAACAAATCAAATAACCCAAGTAGTGACTACTTGTGAGCCATGCAGTGCTACAGAGGGCTGCGGAGAGAAACCAGTACAGACACTCAGACATATTCTGTATTTCTTTCTAAACAGCATATTAGTTCAGTCCTGTATTATCTTTCTACAGCAGGATAAAATGATGACATAAACTCATTTCTATTTGATGATAATCAATAATCAACAATTAGAATAATATTTATTCTAATTATCTCTTTGGCACATAATAGCTTTGGCAGCGATGTGCCAACTTTGTAGAAAAGAGAGATATTAAATCTGAAAGAGCAGAACTCTTTAATACCAGGTCATGACGAAGTAATTAGCTGCCTTCTCCCCACACACCTTCTGATTTGCATCCATTTTGTATTTGCATTCTGAACAGATCCTGTTTGCAAGTATATAGTTAGGTTGCTGTTGAATCGATGGATGGATGGATGGATGGATGGATGGATGGATGGATGGATGGATGGATATAACCATATGTTAGGACATGAATAAGTTAAAATATAATAACTATTAGAAACATTTTTTAAAAAAAATCTAAAACTTGCTAAAACAATGGCTCTAAAAACAAAGAACAAATTAAACCTAGAGCTACAAGTTGACTCAGCATCTGGTAAAATTAACAAATTTCTTTCTAGATTTAACAGACTGCAAGGTAAAAACAGCTACTTCTTACTAGTATAAGAAATATTCTCTCTTACAGAGATTACTAATCGGCCCAGCCTTTTTTTGTTCTCATGGCTCCATAAAATGTCAGTATAGAACATGGTGTTTAATATTCTTCACTTGGCCCTGACTAAAGGGTCAAAGGCCTTGTTTCACTGGAGATTTAGAGAATGTTTCCCTCAAGGAGTGCCGAAGGCAGGGTCTGGAAGCATGGACTGGTAAACACCCTCCTCAGTACCTTATCTGGTACACTCAGATAAATATCAAGAAAAGGCCCTATTTTTCTTTTAAGAAGGATATCATAAGGCAAACTTGAAAGATTGAGTTCCTCCATCATCATCATCATCATCATCATCATCATCATCATCATCATCATCATCATCATCTTACAAGGCATCCTGTTGAAAGAGTCAGTTACAGATCTTTTCCCTGTCCAGAGCTTAAGGTTCTCCAATAAAGGCAGAGAATGCAGCTGCAAAATGCAGGAAAGTGTATTCTTGCTGTTGGCATTACCATTGGGCCCTCTCAGGGTTATGCCAAAGGCAAGATTTAACCGAATGGTCATTCAGGAGGCTATCAAATTTCTTGAAACATTAAAGCACTTTTAAGTGAACCCTAGTGGAGACTGAGGGCAGCCCTGTTTCCATTTTATATGGTCAGCAGGAATGTCCCAAGAAAGACTCAGAATTTCCTTCAGAAAGTTATCCTGGATTGCTTCTAATATAGCATTTTGCATTCCATGCCCATATCTCTGCCCTGTGTAACAGCTGAGGAACTCCCCTGGTCCTGAAATCCTCTAAGAGTGGGAGCTATTGATTGTCCACCTAACAAGCCTGGCAATGTTTCAAGGATCCGGTCCACAACCTTTCCATGTTACACTTCCATCTTACAAAGAAGATGTGCACGTGCCCATACTTTCCACCCTTTCTTCTATAGGAGTTTCCAAAAAGAAGAAACGGTGGTTCTGAATAAGGTATATTTGTGCTTAGAGTCCCAGGATTTATTTTTAATAAGGCAACGAATGAATTAAACTGTGTTTCATATTGTGCATTTAATACCGGTTTTAAAAGCAAAGGACCAGCCAAAGGATGATAAGTATGTCTTACATGGGCAGTAAAAGAAAGGGGGAAATGTGGTTGCATCTCGTTTTTCAGTCTCTCTCTATTGCACTCTCCTATAGCCAGATGGAACAGCATGCTATTATTACTGAAGTGTTATTTGAAGAAGCTGCCTGTAATGTTGTCATCATGAGCAAAGATACATTAACCTCATGACAGCTGCCTTTTTAAGGACGTGATCAAAATATGGAGTTTCCAAATATAATTTGACTTTGTCCTAGAGGATGTTCTTTAAAAGGCCATTAAACAAATAAGTAGCACACAGCAAAAAGTAATTATGAGTTCATAAATACAATGCAAAGCAAGACTGAAAGGATTCCCATGCTAGATGCTTTCGGATCAGCTCCACACCTTTGTGACCCCCCCCCCCCACTATCATCTCTTTTTGGGCAGCTGAGCCAATTTGTAACTCAACTGCCGTGCAGAAGAAATGCTCTGAAGCTGGTTGCAGCTGGAAACTTGGAGCTCTGCAGAACTGAGGGACAAGCCATTTTGCCACTGGAGGGAATTCTTGCTTCTCCCCTCCTCTTGGCCCCTGAGCTATACCTGCCCTAACAGGCTGTCTAAGTGGAATGCTGGCTTTGCAGCTCCCCTCCGTAGCCCAGGCCCGGGGAGCAGGGCTAAGAGATTCTGACTGTTTCCTCTTCTCGTGCCAGCTGCCAGACAGCATGCAAATTGCCAGACAGCCTGGAGATGAAGGGACTTCTGTTCCGGCAGGCTCCATGGCACCCAGGTTAGGAGAGTGATTTTTATCAGTTTCTGAGTCAGCAGAAGTTAGGCCAATCACAGATTGTTTTCAGAGCCCTTTTGAGAGGTTGGAGAAAGGAAAATAGTAGCAGCTAAAGAATCTCTTAATGAAAATACTTTTCTTTTGGCAACTGAGATCTGCCGCATAATTTGCACAGCAGCTATGTTTGTCATCTGCAGGGAATCATGCCAGTTTCTGCATAAAATATGAAGAGCAAATAAAAACCTATGAGCCCTGATTGCATGGCTTTCTGATGCCTGTTTATTGCATGCTTAGGATTGTTGCTTTGTTTTTCACATGGCAAGCATTTCCCTGGGAGCCATCACTGTAGGTGCCTATGTTGAACACAGTTGCGGTGTGAAATTTCTCTAACACCCATATGGTTCCCTTTGCGGCAATTTAAGCAAGGTCAGCAAGAACACTGGGGAACAGGCATGGAGGAAACCACCAACTATTGTTCCTGTAAATGGAATTCAGAGGACAACATACTGGAAGAATTACCCATAAGGCAGTCATCGCTAAGAGCATTATTTGAGATCTGGTCAAACTACCCACTCACAAAAGCTTCTATATCTATCTTGAATATAGAAGATTGGGATAAATTTAGCAGTTCGGCATTGGACACAGACTTCATTACTGTCTATTTCCATCAATCCTTCTAATGACCTTATGCATCAAGAATTTATAAATAAACCAGAATTGATTGCTAAACAGTGCAACCAGCTTGTTGTATTGTGCATTAAAACTATCTTGTAAGTATATTAAAGCACAAAGCATATTATGTAAAAATGTAAGTAGTGTCAAGCAAAATAGAAACGTGGGATATACAATTTTAAAAATACACATGCACGTAGCCCCAATAATCCAGGGTCTGTGCTCTATAAAACAGGAGGTACGGGCATTATTGAACCTTATGGAGCATTTGGCAGTTCTGATGATCCATTACGACCACTTCCTTGTTGACATTCAGTACATGGTCCTAGCCATTATTTGAATAAAAGTGTTTCAGTGTATGCCTATGAATAGGCTTTCTTGCTTTAGTGATGTTCATAATTTGTCCTTTGACCTTGTAGACACTGGTATGCTTTCTGGAGGTGTGATTGTATCAATCATCTGTGGAATCCTGTTGTTCATTGGGCTGATCACAGGGCTCATAATCTTCCGTCGAAGGTAAAGGCAGCAATTCCCAAAGGGGGAGGTAATGTGTGTGTGTGGGGGGGGGTCATCTGAGACAGGAGTTTGCCCTGTTTTATTCTCTGCTTGGTTACAGCCTCCATATTTATGTTCGTTCTTCTCCTTCAGGCGAGCTCATCATCACCGAGCACGACCATGTCACAATGGCTACAACCGAGGTGAGGCTTCAAATCAAAAAAAGGCAGATCACAAAGATCTGCATTCTAGAAGTCAAGCACTTCTCCAGCCTGAGCCTTCAGAAGTGTTCATGGCATAGGCAGAGGGGTGATTGACAGTGTGGAAAACATATTTGTGGAAGGCCAATTAGCAAAAGACTATTATATGCGAAGTAGTCAGGGGGCATTTGAGTAACCAAATAGAGATGATCAGGAATAAATAAGTTTTAGTAGATGTGTTGGCCAACTTTTTCTGACCATTTTTTTCCCAAATGCACCCTCCCTAAGCATATTTTTTGAGGAAAGGGGGGAAAAAAATAACAATAGGGGAGATTTGATATGGAGAAATGGTTTATGGGAATTGTAAAAGTCACCTTCTCCTGCCATTTCTTCATTCATACTCAGCTCCCAGAGAATCACTGCTTACTCTTCTCAAAGAAGTGCCATGATGGATCATATTGTTGGGAGATTTTTCTGTATGAGGAAGCTTTCATGGATGAACTGGTGTTCATCCATGAAAGTAGGTTTCAAGTAGCCCAGTGTGATTTACTTCCTATCCAATGTTTAGGACTGTGATGTGGGAGGAGCTCTTATCAGGTCAATGAAGTTGATTTTTCCCTTGCTGTCTGAATCTTTTTGGAGAAACCAGTTTTTATTGTCAGCTTTTGTTACAGATCAGATTTGGTTGGAACCTTATGTAGATCTCCAGCCATATGAGGATCCCAGCAGGTGTGTCTTAGAATTCACAAAGGAACTGGACCCATCTATTGTCTCCATTGAGACCGTTATTGGTGAAGGTAAGTTTCATTAGGTCTGGCTGTCTGTGCCTCAGCTGATGTCATTTCTCCATTTCCTTTATCCTTTGCCTTCCCTTTGGATGTTCCATAGGAGAATTTGGGGAGGTCTACTGTGGTGCCCTGCACTTCCCAGGGAAGGAACGAATTGTTGTGGCCATCAAGACCTTGAAGTCAACTTACTCAGACTCAACCTGGTGGAATTTCCTCCGTGAGGCAACTATCATGGGCCAATTCAATCATCACAACATTGTCCGGTTAGAGGGAGTTGTCACAAAACGTAAGAATTCAGGGTACTAGTGGCAGTGGGACACACACACACACACAC